TACAAATCATAGGGTTAAATCCTCATTAAATTAAATAGGCTTAAAAATTTTAAACTTATTTTGGAGCGTCACATCAGTGTTTGCACGTATTAGGTTTTCAAACAAATTAAGCCTGGTCCCCAGCCAGCGCCGCAAAACAGCAAGACAGTCCCATGCTGCCCCCCTTGCCTTGGCCCTCCAACCTGTGCCCTGCCATGCAGCTGTGGGAGCAGGCACATAGCACAGGAAAACTGAAAGCAGCAGCAATTCAAAAGGGTAAACTATAAAAAAGTTGCAGTGCCAACTGGTGGACAAAGAGGCTCAGTACAAATCTTTGAGTGCCTTTGTGTTTGCACTCAACAAATTCATGGACATGATGTTTTAATTCACGGTGAGCCAAACTAAACCGCATCTAAGGAGTTTTACTTTAATGCACCAGAAAGACTTCTAAAGCATACGGAAAACCCGCTCATGCAAACAGTCATGCCGTTGCAGTGCAAGAAAGGGCAAAAAATGTGGCATGTACAACTGCCCTTAGGCCACATGTACATGAGCATGGACATTTCTTTCCATGGGGACAAGAAGCAGTGGCACACCTTGTGCTGCTGCTACTTGTCCTCGGAGAATGCCTGTGCCATGTGCCCTCTGGCATGCAGCAGGTTCCCCAGGTGGGGTAGGGAAGGCTGGGGCCAGCATGGGGCAGGCCCCAGCAGCCTTACCTGGGGGCCTCCTGGGGCTGCAGCTGTGGCAATCCTCCTGCTCAGAGCTTAGCCAGCATGCACTACCCCTGTGTGCACTGCCCTGCTTTTTTTTTTGCTTGGATTTTTTTTGATCTGGGATCTCCTGGGATCAACATCCCCACTCCCTCTCCCCCTCCCCTGCACTGCTACCTTGCAGTATGGAAAACACCTTAATGTGTGGTGTGTGGCAAGTGTGTCTGCGGCATCACATACCACAGAGCCATGCTCATCTGGATGCAGCCTTAGAGTCCAAGGCACACATGCAGTGAAAAGCTGCTGAGGAGGCTGAATGTCAGAGAAAAGAGCAAGTGACCATATTCTTGTTCTTTAAAAGGACCACAGAGAGCAGCTTGGAAAGGCGAGAGCTGGCATTTTCCCTCATGGAGGTTTTTCCTGCTGAAGAAACTTGATCACCCTGAGTGAAGGTACTACCTGAACCGAAGGATGCCAAATGCTGACAGTTTTCTGTGTGCCAACAAGCTTCACCAACACTATCTCCCTGCAGTGATTGCTTCACATGACCGGTCCACAAAGGCTGAGTTGGTAGGTATGACTTCTTCCTCATTGTGGCAGACAAAGCCACTGAGCTTCAAGATAACTACCTGCTGCACATTTTATTTGTGCCAGGGAGCTGGACAGACCAGGACCTCCCTGTGTTTCAAAGAGAGCTGATCCACCTCAACTCTGTCAATTTTTCTACTGTGTCTCAGGCCATTGTGAAGTCAGTTGTGAACTACAGTTTATAATTTAACAAGATCTCAGCATTTCTGTCTGACAATGCCATGTATATGTGCAAGGCTTTCTCTGATGTGCTCCAAGGAATGCTAGCCAGTGCAATTCATGTCACCTGCAACGCGCACATTCTATCTTTAGTAAGTGACATCTGGTACATGTAGTTCCCTGATGTGGCTAGCCTAGTGTCCACCTTCAAAAAAGCCTTCAAGCATTGTTCAGGCCATAAGCTCCAGTACACAGAATCCATTGCCACCAGAGTCTGTGTTCACAAGGTGGAATTTGTGGTTCAGCATGGTCTATTACCATGCCAAGCATATGCAGTACTACCAGCAATTTGAGAGTGAGGAGTTGGAAATTACAACCAGCACACAGTGCATGCTTAAGCTTCACAATCTCTTAAGACAAGAGATCTGAAGAGAAATGACATTTAAGAACAAGTGAAGTTTATAGTGGAAAATGCTACCTGGTTTATGCAGCTTCTAATGTGGTTTGAAGGCTGGCAGACTGTGATCCACCACACAAACAACAAGCTGATGGATTTGATAAACTGGGTTGAAGACAGGAATCACAAGAACTGTCAAGCTGTCCTCATGAAAACCAGCAGAGAAGGGACCAGTTCTAAGCAATAGCCGTGAAGCTGAACCAGTACTACAGATATGACCTGTTACTGCCACTGAAGTTCAGACAGCCGGCTGCCTCCTTTCTTTGTGCTGTTCGCATTTTGGACCCCAAACAAGTGCATCTTCTGAGCTGTGACCCTTAGCTACTGAAATTGATCCCTGGATGGTGGAAAGAGCATGACAACAAATGTGCTGCTTACATGAACTTTTTCAAAGAGTGCCAGATACCTCTGCCTGTGTTTTGGGACTCTGTCTGAGACTAGTTTTCACATATCTACACCCTGCCATCCCAACAAACTCAGTGGATGCTGAACATGCCATCTCAGTGTATGAACAACTGTTCACCCCATAGAGACAGAAAATGTCTGCAGGTACTGCTGCTGAATGCAGCATGCTAACATTTAATACCTAGCATGAATTGTCTATTTTCTGAAAAGCACTGATAAACTTTTAACAATGTTCAATAAAGTAGTCATGGTGTTAGTTACAATCCATGTTGTGTATAGTTTTAATTTCATAAGACATTTCAGTTTAGAGTTTAATTAAATGCTTAGATTACTTAATAATGCATCAATTAATGGCTTCCACAGGTTTAATCCCTTGATTAAGCCTGTGGAAACCATTAAGGGAAACTTTATTAAGCAATTAAGCTGTAGTTTCAGGCCATCTGGCAATCTACACAAAGTGGCAGGACTGCTGGGGCTCCTTGGCCAATCAGAGACATAGGGGGTCCCCATCATGATTAGCTCATGAAAATGGTGACTGACACTTTTGATGTGTTTTAGGTCAAAAGCACGCTGCCGCCATTTTCTCAGTGCTGCATGCATTTCATCATTTATACAAATGTATGTGCCAGAGTGCTGGGCACTTTTAAAAGTGGCTGCTGCTGCGGGACAAGCATGTATACAAATGTCCGTAAGTTCCATACTGGTCCATCTAGTGCATGGGTGGGCAGTTATTTTGGGTGGAGGGCCACTTACTAAGTTTTGGCAAGCCATTGAGGGCCACATGACAGGCAGCCAGGGGCAGATAAATATTAATTTTCTAAATTTCTAGGGGCTCCGTGGGCTGGATAGAATGGCCTGGTTGGCTGCATTTGGCCCTCAGGCTGCGTTTGATCTAGTGCAGTACCGGTCTCCAACAGTGACACAAGAGGGAGAACACTGAACTCGATATCTCTAGTGATCTATCCCTTATCCAATATTTTTCTCGGCATCCATTAACAGTTTAGATGCCAGAGGAATCCATGGACCCAATCTGGCCTGCAGACTGGCCCTACACCACTCATGTAGCCCACGTTGCTGGTTGAATTTGACACCCCTAACTTAGAGGGATTCCCACAAACCTTATTATTCACTATTTCATACTAGTTTAGCAGTCCTCCCACTGCTATTTTACACTATTTTGCATTATGTCAAAGCTGATCTACCTATATACCTGTGTGCCGTCTAGTGCTCTGCGGGCACGAGGCTCAGACAGAAGCACAGCTCCTCACTGTAACTGCGAAGGCTTTGCAGGAAGTGTTCTGAGTTACAAGGATCCCCAGGACCAAGCAGAAGTTCCCTGTTTGTTCCAGGAGAGAGGGGGTCTGGTTTGCCCTAGCAACACCCACTCCTCTATCCCCTATCCCAGCTTGTTCCTGTTGTCAGAAGGAGAGGGCCCTGGAGGGTGGGATGGGTGAATAGGAGCCAGTCCCCCATCTGTCACCCAGACACAACTCTCTCTGCTCCCTTTCCCCCCTCCCATGTTGAAAACAGCTCCAGGCTGGCATGAAAACTCTGTTACAGAAACTGCCGTGTTTTGAAACTGCTTCCTTTGACCCCTCATGCAATAAGGGGTCAGATTTTCACCCGACTGGCCATTTTTGAAGCTGTCTGCAGCAGTGCACTTGCATTTGGTAACGGCTATAAACGGCTGTCTGTGGCCAGATTGCTTGAAAATTGTCACTTCTGCCTGCGCCCTCGCTGTTGACAGGGCTGAGAAGTCTCTCTCATGCCTAAACCAAATACGAATCCAGTGGTTTTAGGCACTTCACTCGTACTACACAATATGTTGGAAACCTGCCTGACTAATTTGGGGCAAGGTTTCTACCAGGCAGAATAGGCGGCCCACTGTGCCTTGGTTCAACAGCTGGAGCAAAGATCACGGCTGCAGATGGAGTGCGCGAGTCCTGCAGCCAGGCTGAGGAGCCCTCCCTTCAACACGGGCACAGACGGGAGGAGGGGAAGCAGAGCGGCTTCCTTGCAGCTGCTCTCGGGATTGTATGGGGGGGGGGCTGGGATAGGGGGTGCTGGGAGGAAGAGCTTGCATGAGACTGGCAGCGTGTGGTAGCAGAGAAAGGCTTGAAGACGTCAAGTGAGACCCCCCCCCCCCCCCC